TCCAAGCCTCGGCCGACAAGGATTTTCAAGTCTTTGTTGGTAGAGGTCATCTCATTAACCTTCTCGGCGAAGTGAGGTGTTACGAGTTATTGGGCTTGGCATATTGAAACGTCGAGTTGTTTATGATTGGATATTCACAAGTAAGTTTTAGAGTTCAGCATTCTGACGACCGAACCGCATTTACCATCAAGACATACATCTCTTTTAAGTACTTGTGTCCGTATAGTTTGGTGCCAGTTCGGTATGCTTATACTCTTACGAATATAATCACCGTGACCAAACCCGGCGCCAACGATCTGTGAACTTCGCAAGACTAGCAACCTTGTCTTCAGGCTCTAGAACCCGTAGGCCAAGATGTGTTCCTTCATTGGCCACAGTCGCAAGATCAAGAAGTCAGCAACGCGCTCAACGCGACATCAACACATTTTACTCCCTGGTCGAGCTCGACCGACGAGTTGGCATGCCACGCACACGACTGAATGACGTAGTTAGCTTATTGATTACTTGGCATGCGTGCCACGTAGGTTTGATATTTTTTAGGGTCAACAGGAACTTAACGTGATCAACCATGAAGAGGAAGAACATAAGCACAAGAATAATCATACAAAGTGGCACACGCATGGCTAAGGAATCTTGTAAGTCATTCTCTTCACCATCTTTCTTTGTCACTTTATCATTTACAACTAACCAGATATATAATTGAGTTAACTGTTTGGGGGTTAGGGTTTTCCGAGCTGGGATTGGGCGAGAGAGATTTTTGAAGAAGGTTAATTACACTAACACCCTCTGAGGTTTATCGAGTTTTCACAAAATCCTTTCACATTTGAGACATTACACTAACACCCCTTCATGTTTTATTTCACTTTCACATAACCCCTCAGTCAAAATTCTTCTAATAAATTGACAAGTTTACCCTTATAACTAATTACTTAATTAACGATAAAGAAATCCTTACAATTATATATAGAAAATGAAGATACTAAAAAATAAATTAAACATTAAAAATTGTTACTAAAAATATGTAATGCCTGATAACGGGGTGAAGATCAAACAGATTACTATTGTTGTAGTTCTTCATCACAAAGTGGTGGCTGTGACCCAATATCTTGCACAAAATACTTAATTATCTTTGAAGTCTAAATTTTTATACAATTTAGTTTCTAAACGTTTTACATCTATGTTTAGTTCTACTTTATGGTACACCCACTGCACACTTTGCGTTATATGAAATCATCAACTTAAACACTTAAACAACGTTCCAAAAGAATCCAACAAAAATTTCGAACAAATTCACAGAGAGAGAGATAGGGAGAGGAAGAGATGAGGTGTAAATGGAAGATAGAGCCAAATTCAGAGATGTTAGAGTGCTAGATCTGAAAATTGGGAAAATGGGTATGAACGCAGTTAACCGCAGCAAATCAAATTCCCCAACATGAAAGTTATGGTATGAAATGAATCAATCTTGCAACGGCTAAGCGATGCAGAGTGGCTAACCACAAATCTAATTTGACCCACGACGCAAGACCAACTTTATTCGCTGTATTATAGACGTCTTCTTGTCCCGTTATATCAGTTTTATCGGCAAGAGGTGGTTGTTCTTCATTTTTTAGAGTTTGAGTTTGTTGTTGAAGCTTGTGTGGTGGTTTTAGGGAAAGCACACAATGGAGTGTCCGAGGGTGGCTAGGGTTGCAGACTTGCAATGGAGTCAAAATGACGAGATTTCATGGGAGTTTTTGGAGTGGTAGTTTTTCTATTTTTAATGTTTAGTTTATTTTTTTAATATTGTCTTTCTATATATAATTATAAAGACTTTTTTTATTGTTTAAGTAATTAATTATAAGGGTAAAGTTGTCAATTTGTTAGTAGAATTTTGAGTGAATGGGCTATGTGAAAGCGAATTAAAACCTAAAGGGGTGTTAGTGTAATATTTCAAACGTAAGGGGCTTTGTGAAAACTCAAAAAACCTTAAAGGGTATTAGTGTAAGTAACCCTTTTTGAAGAAAGGTGCAAATGCTCAGTGGGTTGGAGGAAATAACTCATTTATATACTAGGGCAATTAGGTCATTTCCATTTTTAGGAAAATCCTATTTTCGTCATATTGTTGTGTATGTCATGCGCATGTTCTGTGCATATCCCAAAAATCCTATTTTGGTGCAAAGATTAAGAAAATAGGTCTTTTTTGACAATTTCCTTTAAATTTATCTCAATAATACGCCCGAAAACCTAACACTTGGTAACCTGTTTGGCTTTCAAATCCATATTTTTGCACATTTCATCTATTATTATTGTTTGATATGCGTACCTTTATTTAGAATTCAATTAATTTGTACATTTAAAGCTGCTGCAAATGTCAAAATTCATAAGTAACTCATTCATGTTCATCAATCAGGTTTATACTTATTCATCTGGTTTATAATGCAAATGAACCTTGTTGGAGGACCTCCAATATATGTTTGTATGTGAATGAATCTAGGGATATCCTTGTGGTTTATAATGAGAATTAACATGTGTTCGTCAGTTGATTATTAAGAACTTTCGTGCTTTTTTTTTTTTTAATTTACTTATTAAGTTATTTGATTTTAAGGACCAATAACTTAGGTTGAAGATACCAATAACAAATTTGCAGTTTGTACGTATGATCAGTGACATTAAGTTGAAGGATTCTTTTGAGGCCAAGGTCTTCATGATATGTATTTGTAATGCCATTTTTATCAATGAATGAAATAACGTAATCTTCTTCAAAACCTGAAACAAACACATTCCCATAAATCATGCACTCTAATCGTTGTGCAGTAAGTTACTAGATTTGGAATTTGTCTTGTGGTGCAAGTCTTGAAGATGTTGTAGGAGTAATAAAATGACGGAAAATCTTTCAAGATCAAATTAAAGGTGTTGGATTAGATGGTTTTTGCATTTTCCTAACCTTAACTTTCTTGTTTGTAGAAGCAACTGGAGAACCACATTATATTTTGTGTCTCTTTATGTGTGGTAAATTATTTATTTTTGTGATTGAAGTCACTTTGGATGCACTCTTCCCTCCGCTGATTGCTAACAATTTTGGCTGCCAATCAATCGAGATGAAAGTTTGTTAGACACTGTTGCTATTGCTACATTACCAAATAATAATCCTCTTTTGTCCCAAGTGCACAACTGCACAAGCAATCAAACAGCTATCAAGGAAAAGCTATAGATTATTAGGGCAACCTAAACTGCATGCTTAGTCAGGATTCTTTAAAAAAATAATTAAAACCCTCGTATAATATCGTCTCATTCAACTTTGTTCCCGTAATGTAGGAGTTGCTCTAATCGGCCAATCCTCCAACCCTCCTAATATTTTTCCCTCGGACTAATATTTTTCTCTGAAATTGCGACTTAGGAAAAAGAAGAAGAAGATAATGTATTAAGTCGGCAATAGTGAGAGGAGAGGACAAGAAATCATTTGAAAACTACGTAATCCAAATATTGGGGTTTTCTTGGAAGGTAAGGAGATTACCAGAAAATGATAAAATATTTAAATGGCCTGCATTTAAGAGCCTCTCTCCCTCTCTGACAGCCACTTTTCTTAGCCCAAACAAGCTGCCCAGGCTTTTTTTTTTTTTTTTGTCCTTTTCTTTCCTTTTATTTTTTGATATGACGATATATTAATATTAAAAAAAAAGAAATAAAATAGTTATAAACTCGTTATTATCGAAATTCAAACTTAAGACCTCTTATATCGAAATTCTAAATAAAATAGTTGTGTGGCCGAGTGTGGTCTTCGTCGCGAAATTCCACGTGCAAAGGATTGGAAGCCCAAGGTCGAAAGGCAAAGGCCTAAAATTATTGGCTTAGTCCAGGATTAGAGTTTGTCTTAAAAGGAAAGGAAAATAGCTCATAACACGAATAGTGACCCTTTCCTTTATTAAATGTTTTAAAATTGCCTCTCTTTTGATTTTCTGGTCGAAAAGCTAAAATGTATTAAACTTAAAACATATTACAAACAAAGACCAACGGCCAAGATAAACAGTGGGAGGGCCAATCCCACACCGACAAAATGCCTAAAACTAAAAACACACAAAAGAGTAACAAACCCTAATCCCCATCAGGGAGAAGAAACCTGCCACCGCGGAAGTATCGCAATAACCACCAGAGTGACAACCATGTAGGGATCAAATCAAAAGAGGATCTGCAAAGAGTCAAGCACAACCAAAATAACCCAAAAAAAAACCAACCTAGTCATCTAGACTGTACCCCCAACCACCAAACCTGCGAGAAGAGAACCCAGTTGACACAACATGGGGGTGGGTAGGGCCAAGGTAATGCGTAAAACACCCTTAGTATGACGGAGGTCACAAAACACTTGGCCCAAATTCTCCAACATTACTGGTGAAGCATGGGGCAGTCTGGTAGAGATTTACATCCCAAAACGAGTCCAATACTCGAAAAGTTCATTTTTGGGATGGATAAAGGGGAGTTGATGAGAGTTAGAAGATGGAGGTGTTGGGGGATGCAAGGGAAAATGGGGGAAACTGATGTGAGGGAAAAAGGCTGCATAACTGGTATTAGGGTTTGCAAGGGGGGCAAAAAGTTAGGAGGAGAAGAAAAGGGGGCAGTAGAGCAGAACAGGAGAGACAATGAAGGATGTCGGGGAAGCGACAATAAACGTAAACGTCGAGAAAGCATGCTAACGACTCTCAAACCGGCAGAGACGGTTTGGAGCAGTACCGATGCTGGAAGGAAAGAACAATGTTATGAAGCTTGAATTAGGTTTTCCCTTGTATTTGAATTAGGTTTTCTGGATTCTGAAAAAATTTAGCGCACACAACCAACCTTGATTGAGCTCTGTGTGTCTAACTCTATTTCCATCCTCACTGGTTTGCTAATTTTTGTGTCACCGTTGAAACAGAGATGCTTTTGGCTCGACGAACCTCCTGATTTTAATAATACTAATAATAACAGCTTTGTAGTAAAGATTCAGCAGACAGAAAACGCTAATTAGAAGCAACTGTCATAAAAACATCTTTAGAAATTTGTCAAAATAAAATATAAAATCGAAAAAAGAAAAACATTGTTGATATCTGAACCAGAAGAGCAACTCAAGGATGAAATTACACTAAGCTACGACACCTCTCTCAAACCTATGACACTCTAAAATTGACAAACTATAAATTCGACTGCATTCTTACCTCTAAATCTCTTTCATCATAAACCTTCTATCTGCTCAATGGTAGAGAAGTGAGCATCCACGGTTTTCAGAGTTTCTTGATCAATTTCGGTAGTGCTAATCACTTTAGGAAACAAACAATTCCACTCCTTTCGGGGGTCTGGATCATTCTTCGCAGTCTGTTTCTTAGTTATGTCAGCCTCTTCGGATTCTGATCTACTAGTCAATTTGTGTTCACTGAAGAGCTGAGATTTCAACTCCCAGCACGCCTTCAGATCCTCCTCGTTTCGGGCTTTGTTCAGCTTATCAATGAGATCGCCTAAAGCAGAAGCCCTTTCAGCCCACCATGATTCTTCTTTTGGTGGCCCTTTATCCAATCCATTTGGTCCAATTGATTTCTTGCCCCCGTCATCAAACTCGCGTTTCTGAAGCTTCTTTAGTCCCTCATCAACAACTTGCTGTATCCTCTTTCGGAAGTTATTGGTTCTCATTGGATTTGATCTCAACTTCAACTTCAGTCCTGACACCATACCTTCAGTTTCATCTTCCGTAGCACTAGTAGTAGTATCATGGTTTGATATGGATGATCCATCCCCAATTGACTCCTCCATAATAGATTTCACAGAAAACACTTCCTCTAATAGGGTGACGTTCTGCATGTATCGATCGAAAGCTTCATTTTCCACTTCAATGTTTCTTTCCTTGTATTCCTTTAACTTGGAAAATCTCCATTCATTAATAGCCACAGCATCCTGAAATTAATATTTTTAGTTAGAACAGGTCATTCTTACCGTACAAGAACAAATAGATAGTACCAAGGACATGCACCTTTCTGGTCAAAGGCTTCTTTGAACGAAGCGGAATATGCAGATTATTGAATTGAGCAAAATTGTTCGAAAGTTGCCGGAATGATGCAACTCTATGGGAATTCCTGAAATACAGCCAACAATTTAAGAAAATCTACAGCCAGAACGAAAGCAGTTCTTGCTTTGAAGACCTTTCCTGAATGAAGTTCCCATGGCAGCCAAGGCAAACAAAAAAAATATATATATATATAAAGGATTGAAACATGGGAAGCTTAGAAAGCCAACTGTTAAGGTTAGGGAATAAAACCATCAAAGTTATGACTATAGAACAAGCTAGAAACCAGTGCAAATCTTGAGCCAATTGCCTTCCATAGGAAGATTCGACTCGATTAAAATCAGCAATTTTGACAAATCCATTCTCAAGTTAGGTCATAGTGAATAAGACAATAACTTGGCTTGCTGCCAACAATTTAAACTTTGAAAAATATGACAAATTACTATACAAATGGTAGAAGAGCAACGGAGTTTTGTAGGAAAACAATTTAACGACAGGAATCTTAGAGACGGTGCAAGTGTAGACAAGAATTACAAGATATAAACAGATGTTAAATGAGCTGCTGATGTTTCGAACTCACCCTGATGGTGATGCCTCGGTTGACTGATGGTCAAATAGAGGAGAGTTTGAAGTTGGTGCCTTGTCTGGAAAAGTTGCATTTGTTTTCAAAACTGCAGAGATAATTCATGTATATTAAGGAGAAGCCAGAAACAAACATGCAAGGATGAAAAATCCAAACAGAATTTTTTTTATAAGACCAAAAAAATCTCCTTAAACAAGAGCTTTGGATCACCCACCCTAACCGCTAGGCCTATCCATAGAAACCAAAACCATAAAATGATGCTCAATGCAGATCTCTTGAAATATTTGAGAATGAAAAAAACTAGGTTTGAATGCTTGGTTAATAGTTATATCTTAAAAACAATAATAAAAGAAGGACAAAACTGATGACCGATCTTTTTATCAGAAACGAAAAAGAACAATGATCAACAAGCAGTTCATCAGGTTCAAACACCTAAAATACAATTGAAAAGCAAACTCAACTATAAACCAACGAAAACAGTCCCACTTAATCTAAAATGGCAGACCAATCCAAATGGATAGGTGAGAATTCCCAAACCCAAACATGAACCGACCTATCACAAGTAACACATAACCCAAGAAATCATTCAAAGACATGCCAAAATCAAGTCAACATCCTACCCTTATCAAGACACCATTGCTGTCTCTTGTGTCATGTAAGTGAGCACTTGTTTCTGACACGCACAAGTTAATAGGCATGTCACCTGGGTAAGCAACTATGATCAAAATTTTACATAACCATCTTGTCCGCTGATGGCACAGAATGCCACTTCATGCCTCTAAGCATAAATAGTTACCCACTAGCATGCGAAAACTATACCAATATCGCATTTAACCAGATGCCCCGCTATCTTTAATTTGTGCTACATGTCAAATATGGATATTCATCCAACACACCCGAATATCTTAGGGCTAGGAATGTAGTGTTTCCGAGACTATTCATGATGCTTCCAGCAGCTCAAAGACATATAGCTTACTCAGTCCCCTGCATAAGTGATGTCATGGGTGGTGGAACATGCACGCATCTGTACAAGAACCTTAAAGGTATCCAACCCTTCTCCATTTAGGAAAAAGGGACGTTTAGTGGAATCGGCACTTTAGGGAAAGAAAAAAATATATATATATCTACAGAGGAAACTACCAATTTTCCCTCATTGCCACTCATCAGAGTAGTTGCTCAAAGCCATCAGCCAAAAGCCATGCATAAAGCCAAAAGCCATGACTACATAAGATACCTAGAATTTCTCAGACCCCACAATAAACTGCAGTTGTTATCGTCACTCACATGAAATTTATACTCTTTTAAGTGGCAATGTTGGAAACCATACAAACAAAAGCAAGCAATACAAGATTTTGTCCCGAAGCTTGAAATGACAACTGTAGAAGATAAAGCTTTGAAATGCCAATTGTAAAAAAAGCATCACCAAAATGAATTTTCCATTAGTTGACATCTAAACTTCACAAAATGCACAAGCACAACCAACCCTCCACAAAAGAAGAAAACTGAATATAATTATATAGTCTTCAAAATAGCCACATACTTCAAGGATGTTTTGATAAAGCATAGACTTGAACAGACATACCATGAATATGACATGGATTTTGAGCTTTTGAGCAGCAACTCTTGCATGACTCGTAAGGACACCTGCACATTCGAATCAGCTCAATAACATGAAACAGAAAGAAAGAATATTATTCTAAATGTAGTAATACAAACATAACATATTTTCAACATAATAGAGACTATATAGCATTTGGTAAAAACATACTAATAACAGAGCACATCTTGTATGAAGAAAAAGAAAATTCCTCCACCTTTGTATAGAATATCAAGAAAGTCAGCGCATTAAGGCTTATCTCTTATTGGGCTGGAAGGGGAAGGATCAATAATTGAAATTAACATGGAAAACTATATTTGGATGTGCCTTAGTGAGATCTGTGAACAAAACCGTCAAACAGTAATTTCACTCTTTCTTTGTTTAGATGGTAACAAAAATGGATTATCCTAAGTTCCTAAACTGCACGCTTAGGGTCAAATGGTACTTGAATGGAGTTAAGGAGTGGCTGAAAATGAGAAATTTGAACTGAAAATGAAGAAGAATGTCAACTTTAAAGTCTCATTAACGCCATTCTAGGAGTCTCACCACAAACTTCAAAACTTCGAAGAAAGTTAATTAATGAGTAGTTGAGTATATCACATAAAGGCTCGCACATCAATGTAAAATCCTAATACACTAAGGAGAAGCTAGACCAATAATTTACCAAGGAAAGAATACTTACTAATGTTACCTAGGTAGTGGGTCTTGTCGATACATGGAACGAGATTACTTAAGGGGTATACTAGCTTCTTTGGTACAGAGTTAGTTAGGGGTACATGGTATACCTGGTTGCTATATTACATCAACTTTATGTCTTATATTTATAGAGTCCGTTATTGGGTTAAATTGTTAGTTGTTAGGAGGGAAGGGGATCGCAAGGGGTCGAACCCACACTAGAGTGCATAGGCATGATTACTTTCCACCACTGTGGTAAACGCCATCTGCAAGGTTATCTGGCTTTTAATTGGTGATTTAAATATGTTTCTATAATTGTAGAATGTTAATTGGGATGGAATGTCGATTTGTGGGAATCAATTAATGATAGTATAAGAACATGTGGCGGCCTATTCGTATTTTCTGGCAGCCAGAATCACATCCAACTTTTAACTCAATTCCTACTTTGTCGTGGCAGCTGTTTAAACACTTCACCTTCATCTTTTCCTCTTCTCTGCAGCAGTCATCACCCACCATGGAGAGCAACTTTCTCCTTCAATATTTCCTCCCTCTCTTTCTCAAGTTCTCCTAATTTCTTTTTAATTTTCTTCAAAACTCTTTAGTTTTAGTCTATATCACATAGGAGATGGAACTAAGTTTGAAATACATCTATAAAAGATCGGGATAGCCATTTCTCCAATCTGTTTAGGGAATGCATTATGGTAAAAAAAAAAACCTAATCTTGTCCAAAAATAACTACTGTACTCACTGAATACATTCAAATATTAACAAGTTCCTAATCATTGGTCACGGCATAACTTAATTAATACAAAAGCATACAGCACCGGCTATATCAAATTCCTATATTATAGTTTCGAGCCATATTCTAAAATTGATTCAGAGGCATTCTATCTTGAATTTTATACCATCTGAACAGCCAGAGGAGTCATTTTGACACCGAACGGCTTCAGCAATGTAAAGCCCCCACTCACTGGAATCACATCATAATTTTACCAGAAAATACCATCAAATCGAGGTAGCGAAACAGAATTGCAACATGTCCACCAAGATCTCGTCACCCAGTTTCTACCATCTACCATTAGGCATAGTTAAATCCATGCATTTGACAGCAAATTACTTGCTTTTAAGACCATAAACAACATTAATTTTTAGCGCAAGGAAATCAATTCCCTCAAATTAATTACCAAAACCACAAACAACAAACAAGGCAATTCTTGATTAAAAAACAAAAATCACATAATCCTCTTAGGTCTCCCAAACCTAATTGTCAGAACGCAAATTAATACAACCGGAAAGGCAAATTAAACAAGGAATTCAATTTCCCTCAAATGAATTACCTGGAGCGCGCGACATTGCCGCACTGCTTACACTTAGGCTTGTTAAGGCCGCGAAGGGTCTTGGGCGGCGTGCCGGTACGGTGCACCGGGTGTAAGGGTGCGACTGTAGGCGCGTCGGCGGCGGCGGTGGTGGTTGGGCGAGTGGCGCCGGAGCTGGAGTTGCTTAGTGCAGGCGAGGGCGAAGGAGCAGCTGCCATAAGAGCGCGAAATCCGGTTTTGTATTTTAATTGGTTTTATAAATTTTTTGAACCGAATTGTGTTTTTATGAATTAAAAGAGAAAGAGCGAGAGAGATTTCGAAGAGTGATTTGTTGGCATTTTATTTTCTTTTGGGGATTTTTGCTTTTAAAAAAATATATATAAGTTAAAAACAAAAAAAAACAAAAGAAGAAGAGGGTTTTGCTTTTGGTTTCACGCAGCGGAGCGGAGAGAGAGAAGCGGCGGAATTGTGTTACTGTTTGGTAAGGGGTATCGGCGACGCGGTACTGAAAGGAGTCTTAATGGGCCGGATGTCTTAATGGGCCAGTTGATCCAATTTCTTTTTTTTCTTTCTATTTTTTGGTCGGGCTATTCCTCTTTTTTTCTTTTTTTTCGTTTTTAGTTTTCTGAGGCACTTTTCAGTACCGCGCAAACGCCAAGCGCAAAAAAGAAAAATATAAGGTGACCCACTGACATCCGTGCCAGAAATTTAGGCTTGGAATCATAATCGACATGGTGTCAGCCATAACTGTTAAGCTTTGGCGACAAAAAAAAATAAGTGAAAGTATGTTTTCGGTCGAATTTAACTCTAATCACGTGAATTTAACATAACGAATCTAATCACGTCAATTTAACATGGCTGGAAATCCTCCAAGGCCGAGTTGTTTCCGACAACAAACACGACGTATGCTGCAATTACATTATTGTGGCACAGCAAGGGAATGCAAAATTGCAAAAGGTAATGTTAAAGAGGCTAAATTTGCAAACTAAATAGTATGTCATCATTAAGAATAAGCATATTTATTAACCTGTAAGTAATAAACCAATCATCAACTTCTATGTCCTTTAATTTTCAAAATTTTATCCACAAATTTAATATCTCTTGCATTAGTCAATTGCAAATGTTGAATTTTGAAGTTTGATTTGAGTGGCAGAAATGAGGACAATATACCTTGACTGGATGGATAACCAAGCATGCATTGACATCTCCAATTTTCCGTCCTCTTATAAAATTAGGAAAAATAATGCAAAGTGTTTGAAAACTTTGAGTTTTAATGATAATAACAAAATAAAGGATAAAGTGAATAATATCAAGATTGATTTTTAATGTAAAAATATGATTTTTTGTTAAAGTGTCTAGAAACTTTTTGTTAAAGTTCTTTATAAAATTCTTTCTTTTTGGGTTGTCGTTTTTTTATAGGCAAAGACTGACTGGCAGCAGGGAGCTTTCACCATCAACCATGTGAATCGTTTGATTCATCTTCTCTAAACTGTTGTGTAGCGGATTTCTACCATCTATGGCTTTTGAACATACGCCAATCATGGATGACGTATAAAAGTTCTAGACACAATTTTAGGCCTGAAAAAATAAGACTTTCTATTAATAAATAATTAATAGCGGATTCCCATCTCAACCATGGAGAAAGATCGGATCTCTCCCTCAAAATTCATGAATTAACTGGTTTAGATCTTTAAAAATTTGATCAAACGGATAAAATTATTATAATTTTTAAAAGTTTTTACTAACTGCTCTATTTTTAACCGTTTGATCAAATTTTAAAAGTTTAGATCACTTGATTCGTGGGATTTGGAGAGAGAGATCTGAAAAGGATCTCTTTCCCAACCATGATGGCTATATATTAGCCTATCTATATAAATAATAATATGTGTAGGTTTCTTAGCGTAAATATTGTCTTTTTTTTTGAACCGAAACATTACTTAGGGTAAATCGATTTCATACACATAGCACTGGGCTGTGCTAACCATTGACCAATGTCATCTAGTTTGTATGGCCATCAACATGGTAAGGGATCCTCTTCATATTCCTTCCATCAAATCCACCTAATCAATTTTTAAACTTTTAAAGGAAATCTTATTTGTAGTCGTTTGATCAAATTTAAAAAACCTGGATTAATCAATTAGTGGATTTGATAGAAGATATCTGAAGAGAACCTCTTTCCCTTCAACATGCCTCCAATCTACTCCTCCAAAGACACATCCATCCTAGTTTACCTTTCTTAAGCTACGGTGGGTCCCGCTCTGTCCACTGCTGACGCAGCTGCTGACATCGTGGTGTTGACGATACACCCACGAGCTGGCCCACGTAAGCCCCTCTACCGACCTGCCCTTATCCGGTGACCCGACATCCGACGGTCCTAATTATCGGGACTGGGAAGTTCCCAAATTAATGCTTGGTGTACCAACTAAATCAAAAACGTGTTGAATCAAAATTTCATAATTAATAAAAAATTATTCATATGTGGTTGGTTTGATTTCATTGCGTGTTGAATGTTGAATCAAAATTTCGTCAATTAATAAATGATTACCAGCTTCCTTGTTTTATCTTTTGTAATCAAAATAATGCTAGAATATTTATCACATTTCTTCGATTATATTATTGCAGTCAACCATACTCTGTGATACGATTAATATCATAATATGTCACATTTGTTAAATATAAAACCTCACTTTAAAATTTTGAAAAATAAAGTACAGTAAATGGTTCTGCTCCTAATAACATTAAGGTTTTTGTAATAAAACTTAATATCTAGTAATGTGTGGTTAAATTGGAACAATATCAATGTAATTTGTAATGAGTGCCCGTTCCCATGTCTGAGTTACTGAGTTTAATGTAACATTATGCTTCCACGCTTAATGTCAGATATGGTTGCAAGTGTGGCTCACTGTGTGTATTATGTGGTGGTCCAAGTGAGGAGACTGTGTTGAATAAAAGTCCTACATAAGGGAATTAAGATCCACTCTTAATAACATTGATACATTTTGTCATAAAACTCTACACCTAGTACTCTGTGATTAGGTTGGAACAATATTTGTATAATTAGGAATGCGCACCAATAACCTGTCTCTCTGAATATTTGACAATTCTAACAAGTAATGCTAGTGCTAGAAATACAACATTTTTGGACTGCATTTGTGTATAACTTAATGTGGCAAATCATACATACAATCAACATCTAATGAGATATACTCATTAATTAGCAACACATATGCATCACTTATAAACTTGACTCAAAACCGAGCGCAATGATATTTTAAGATTCATACTGCTAATCTCACTTAGTGGTATAAATTTTGCTGTTGTTGTACACATTACTTATCGCATCCTATGATACACTAATATAATTAATAAATGTGGTATTCTCAACCTTTTCCTAAATAAATTTAAAGGATCATATTCTACGGAATCAAGACCCTAAACCCTAAACAAATGCATTTATACATTTTGTAATGGCATCAATTCACCATTGAAATTGGAATTGAATTGTCAATTAGTTGAATAGTGTGTTTTGACTTTCCTTTTTAAGTTGTCTGTGCTAGCGATGGGCATCAAATCGCCGTTCAAAATTGACATTGTCATTGAGTTCAATGGTGTGCTTTGATTTTTCTTTGAAGTTGTTTGTGCGCTTTCAATCCGCCTTATATGCTTCTTAAACATGAATCTTAACGATATTGCAAAACCAAGAATTCAAAAGGGCAAAATTAATGCAAACAGAAATCGCACAAACAACTTAAAAAAAAACTCATATCTCTAATATCTATCGTAATATGTGTCGAACTCACACAACTTAGAATAATCAAATAATTCCTTAAACCTAAATCATGATTACCACCACAAACTAAAGCCGTAATGCCATGTAAATCATCACATTTGAACAAAGAAGAACGTGCAGGACAATGAGTAGATTAAAAAATATATATATTAATTTCCAACAATCCGATTTTGCGTAATAACGAGTAAGAGTCATGATTTGATATGTGCTAATCTGACCAAAGCCCTTGAAAAAAAAATACTAAATAAAATTTTAAAAAAAAAAGTGATTTTCGAAGGAATGTTCAGGAGACTCTTAAATGTAGGATTTTTCATAGACTCTTTGTCACCTTATAGTTTAACGTCAAATCTCGTTTCAACATTATAAAATATTATGCCAAAAACATGAGATGTCAAAAAATCTATGGAGAGTCCCATTTTTTAGAGGGTGTAATTAGTATTTCTCTGGTAGAGAATGATTGGAATGAACTAGGGGTGGGTTTGGTTTCATTCAATTTGGTTTTTTTGCCAAAACCAAAACTTTGGTTCGGTTTCGATTTTTTTTTATTCTATAAAACTTGATTTTTTTTTTTTAATATGAAATTCAGAAAAGAGGCTTGCATTGATAGACTACTAATAAAAAAATGTGGAAAGTGGAAAGTGGGAAGGTAGTTATACTTATACAAAGATCATATAAACCAATCTTATTCTATCAACACCCCCAATTGCAAAGAAAAATGATTACCGTATCTATTCAAAAAGCAAACAAATTGAGAAGTTTTTCCAAGTTCCAAAGCCTTCCAAAACTTTCCTCTATAACCAATAAAATATCATCCCTAACCAAACCAAGTATGCTCCTTGAAAAAGCCCTAGGCTTAGTTTCAAACTTGGCAACAAAGTTTCACAAAAAAACATCATAGGCATACATTCATAAAGTGTAAAGGGATTCGGTTTGGTTTTCAAACCTCTAAACCGAAACCGAACTAATAATGTTTGGTTTGGTTCGATTTTTTCTTTTTCGGTTTCGGTTCGGTGTTTGGTCCCCTTTTTTCGATTTTTGGTTTTTATTGAACCCACCCCTAGAATGAACCTATGACCTTATACTATGTTTGAAAGAAATAAACTTGGAATTTGGACAAGTCAAATTATAAATTGACATGCATCAATTCCCTTGTCTAGATTCATGAATGTAGAAATTTAGAATTTCCATGTTAAAAAAAGAGTGCTACTAGATCCACCCCATTGTCCTATTTTTCCACCCACATGATAATTTCATCCACCGTAAAAAATTAAAAAAGTAAAATGTAATTTTCTCACCCACCATTATTTCCAAAATAACCCTAATATATATTTTTTCAATTAACTAATAGAGAATAAATTATAAATAAATAAAAAAAATAGAAAAATGAAAGAAAATGCAAGACCTAAGACCTGGACATTCAGCTCTCTCTCACACCTATCTTCGCCTTGCTGAGACCCTGGATCCCCAAACCATCTTCTTCCTTTTTTGTCAAAGCCGCAGATCTCACACCCAAGTCTTTTTCCTCCATTTAATTCTCACCTTCATCTCACCACTCCTCCTTCCTCCAACCGTTCCGTGATTCTAACTCAAATCTTTCCCAACCTCTTTCTACCAAAGAATCACACCTCCCCACCATTACACCAAATTATTTAGTTTAAAAATTTTTTGTACTTAATTAAATAGGGGTTTAAGAGTCTTCTT